GCCATGGTTACTAAAAATAGAAATGTCTGAAATTCCTTTAAAACGCTACTCCTTCTACAGTTTTGGTCTGATGGCAATGGCTTCTTTTCTCATCCTTTGTTATAAGTACAAACCAGTAGAGCTACAGTCTCGACAGAGACTTCTGGTTTCAAAGTGCGTTGCCACAGGGGGGTAAAAAATTGTCGAGTCAGATCATGGCTTAACATGACAATATATTTTATTCTAGGATTATAAGAGTGCATTTTATACTTATTCTCACTGAAAACTGTTGGACAACTTTATTATTTAAAAATCCCCCCCAACACTTTACTCTGGGGGGATACATCACTCAGTATTGCTGAAAATGAATATCTATTTTCTATTGTACATTCTTATATTCAGCATTCTGGTAGATTTAACTGATTGTTCACATTTTTTTAAAACTATTTGTATAAACAATAATGTAGCAGTCTATATATGTCCACAATGAGAGTTTATTTAATTTACTTGTTATTCATTTTGTACAAACTGTTGAACACTTCTAATTCATCCTGTTATAATATCTCATGTAGGGAGAGGGCGATTTAATTTTTTAGAACTTGTGCCCAATCCCATTGTATATATTTTGTGCAATAAAATATGTTCAAATCAACACAAACATATACATATACTTATTTACCAAACAGAAATGAAATATTTATCCCTTAAATATTAATCTGTTTAAAACACTGGACAAAAAAAATTCAAACTGTACCAAAATTGAAATTATTTGTCTTTTGGGTCAATCAGTAATAATGTGCCTTCTAGCGTAGCTTAGGTGGATTGAAAATGAATTTTGATCTGCAATTTCAATCCGATGTTTTCCCCACGTCCGCGTCGAATTGTACTCGCCCATTTCAGTGTCTATCACTGAATGATTTGATTGTAACAGATAGAAATGACGTAAGCTGTATATTTCCAATTTTGCCAGTTAATGTTCCGCGGTCTTATCTGTACCTTTAATAAATATATTTAATACTTTATTTATAGTATTCCTGATAGTGATGTTGCTGGGTTCCATAAGGTAAAAGTATGTTTTATGATTATTTATACAGATGTAAATATACACAATACAATGGCATAGTTTTTTTTGTTAGTACAGTAACCAACTTTGCAGCTGTTCATTATCAAAAAAATATATACATGTAATTTTTCTGCAACAGCTGCAATATTATTTCATAGATTTACAACGGAAGAACTTAGAAAGCATATACACATGTACTCAATATTTTCCTACCTAGTTTATGCAAATCTTTTGTTTAAGGTATTTCCTCCCTTGGAATTTTAATGAACCAGAAGTCTCATTCTAGACTGTAGCTCTACTGGTTTTTATTTTAAACAAATGAGGAGAAAAGTAGCAGTTGGACTTAAAACTTTTCAACAGCAATACATAGAATAATGAAGCTTGAGTTTGTCTCTTTTTTGTGGCTAGATTGCAATGAAACTAAAACTGGAGGAGCAGCGTTTTGAAAGTATTTCTCAGAAGTTTCTATTTATAGTAACCATGTCAACACTGTTTATCAAAAACTGATAAACAGAATGATGAATCTTAGTGTAGTCTACTTGTGTGCCAAGATATATCAAAAAAAAAAACTTAAGGACATACGCAAGGTACGTTACCTACTGATAATTTTTCAAGATACTAGTATTCTAAATTTAAACCTATAATACCATTACATGTTCTTAGACAAAAAATCAGCATGCGTTACCAGGGGTTTTGAAAAGATATCAAATTGTGAAAATTTTTGCATTTTTCAAAGAAAAATGTACAAAAATTACCAAACATAAATTCCAAATTTTTTTTCATCAAAAATTGTTTTAGAAGAGGTGTATAAAACCATATATAGACATTAAAAGTATTGCACACAGGTCCTTCGTTTAGTGGAACTCTTCAACTCCAGGGAAGAACCCAATAAAGTTCAAACTACGTTGCGTATGACCTTAAACTCTAGAAGGAATAGCATTAAAAATGTTTAAAGACAGACAGAATAACAGATGACATCCACTTTACTATAGCATAGCTCTACTGGTCTCTGATCAGTAGAGCTAATTAAGTACAATAACAGTAAACTCGTTTATAACGAAGTCACTGGGACCTATAGCTGCAGAACTCTAGCTCTCTGCCTGAAAGCTACAGATCCATGCGTTGTAATGTAAAAACCTTCGATTTATGCTGCCAATTTTTTTGTCGCTCACTCCAGGTATTATTTCATATATTGTATGTTTTCCCCAGCTTTATAAATGATATCCAATAATTAACCATACATTTAACTCCTATTCCATCAGGTTTATCTACCTTTCAACGGTTCAAGAAGGGCTGTTTATGGAAATGGATGTAAAAATGGGTATCTTTTAAACCGAAATTCCAAATCCAGAGAGGACTGTTTCGGACTGTTGAAAGGTGAATAACGTATCAATAATTGGAGTAAAATATATGATTAATTATCAGATACCATTCTAAGAGCGTAAAAAAAGATAAACTACAAGAAAGTATACCTAAAGTGAGCGACAAAAAGTCGGTGGCTAGATCGGTTTATACAATGCATGGATCTGTAGTTCTCTGCTTTATCTGTCCGAATTTTCTCAGGCAAAAATGGGACCTATGAAATTACTTCGCTATATCTGTAATTCGTTATATCTGTATAAGTAATTTATTAAATTTGGAAAGATGGGGATCAAAGATAACTTCGCTATATCCGTGTACGTACTAAACGAGTTTTACTGTATAGTGAAACAGAAGTGAATTCAGCATAAAAACATAGGTAATCAGAGATTACAGAGCTCACCTCAACGAATGTTGTCTTTAAGTAAGGCAAAGTCACACAATAACCCAACAAAAAGTGTAGAATTTATGCAATTTTGATCTAATACTTTGGAATAGACCTATATAAAAACTTCAAACTAGTTCTTTGTCACAAAAATGTGATTAAAATCCAGCATCTGTAGCAAGTTTGAGAGTTTTCATCCCTTGATGCATCATTTGGGCAAGTTTGGTTTATATAAGCCTTATAGTTTCTTGGTAATAGAACTGCACCCATAACTTTTACCTGGTACATTATCTGAAAGATGTATGTTGAATTCAGCATCTAGAGCAAATCCATTAGTGTGCATCCTAAGATTTATCATCCATGCAAGTTTGAACAACATAGGGCTAATAGTTACTTAGAAATGAAACTTGCATGAAAATTTAACCTCTTCACTCATCCAAAAAAATGTAGGTCAGATTCAGCATCCGAAGCAAGCCTGGTAGAATGCAACCTTAGATGTATCGTCCATACAAGTTTGGTCATTATAGGGCTCATAGTATCTTGGAAATGAAACCTGTACCAAAAACTTTAACCTAATCACTCAACTGGAAAATGTAGGTCACATTCAGCATCTGAGGCAGGCCTGGTAATACGCATCCTTAGATGTATCATCCATGCAAGTTTGGTCAACATAGGGCTTATAGTTACTTGGAGATGAAACCTGCACCAAAAACATTGACTTGTTCACTCAACCGGAAAATGTAGGTCACATTCAGCATCCGAAGCACATCTAGTAGTATGCATCCTAAGATGTACCATCCATGCAAGTTTGGTCATTATAGGGCTCATAGTATCTTGGAAATGAAACCTACACCAAAAACATTAACCTGTTCACTCAACCTGAAAATATAGGTCAGATTCAGCATCCGAAGCAAGCCTAGTAATGTGCATTCTTAGATGTATCATACATGCAAGTTTGGTCAACATAGGGCTTATAGTTACTTGGAGATAAGACCTGCACCAAAAACATTAACCTGTTCACTCAACTAGAAAATGTAGGTCAGAGTCAGCATCCGAAGCAAGTCTGGTAGTGTACATCTTTAGATGTATCATCCATGCAAGTTTGGTCCAAGCAGGGCTTATAGTTACTTGGAGACTTGGAGACTTGGAGATAAGACCTGCACCAAAAACATTTACCTGTTCACTCAACCGGAAAATGTAGGTCAGATTCAGCATCCGAAGCAAGTCTGGTAGTGTACATCTTTAGATGTATCATCCATGCAAGTTTGGTCAACATAGGGCTTATAGTTACTTAGAGATGAAACCTGCACCAAAAACATTAACCTGTTCACTCAACCGGAAAATGTAGGTCAGATTCAGCATCCGAAGCAAGTCTGGTAGTGTACATCCTTAAATGTATCATCCATGCAAGTTTGGTCAACATAGGGCTTATATAGTTACTCGAAAATGAGACCTACACCAAAAACTGCACCAAAAATGTTAACCTGCTCCAAAAACATTAACCTGGTCATTCCTTTGCTGAAATTGCAGCATCTGAAACTTTGACTGGTACAATGAAACACATTAGAAACATCTTCCATGCATGTCTAATCAATATAGGACATAGAAGTACTTAAAAAGAAAACTGCTCCAAAAAACTTAACCTTAACCCGGGACGCCGACGCCGACACCGACGCCGACGCCGAGGGTATTACATAAGCTCCCCCAACTTCGTTGAGGTGAGCTAAAAATCATATATTTTTAATGAAGTGAATTCAGCATAAAAAAAATCATATATTTATAATGAACAGCATTTTAAAAATAAGATGTGTTTGTGAAACACTGATGCCCCCGTATGGCAATTTCATAGCAAAGACTTAACTTTTCTTAAATGCAATTTTAATAAAACAGTAACAAAAGTGGAGTAATCACACTGGAAATACAATTGTGAAATATTAAAGTAGGCCAAGGTTAATTTTTTCATAAATAAGGAAATCGTCAAGGTCATTGGTATCCAATGAAAGGTTTTGCCACAAAAAATACATATGTAAAATATGGAAGCCCTAGCCCTAACCATTCAGAAGTTATGGCCAAGGTTAAAAATTTTTAAAAGTAGGTCAAACTCCAAGGTCAATGTCAAGGGTCTTAAGTATGGGACCCCTAGCCTTAACTGTTCAGAATTTAAGGCCAAGGTTAAACAATTTTTAAAGTAGGTCAAACTGTAAGGTCAATATCAAAGGGTCAAGGGTCTTGCTATCAAATGAAAGGTCTTGTCACAAAGATTAAATATGTAAAGTATGAAAGCACTAGCTTTAACCCTTTAAAAGTTTTGGTCAAGGTCTGCTTTTTAAAAGTAGGTCAAAGTCAAAGGTCAAGGTCAAAGGGTCAAAGTTCTTGGTATCCAATGAAGGGGCTCTTCACAAGGATTTTATATGTGAAATACGAAAGCCCTACCCCTTACAGTTCAGAAGTAATGGCAAAGGTTAAAGCTTTTTCACAAGTACGGAAATCTCACAGGTCAAGGTCAAAAGGTCAAGGTTGTTGGTATCCAATGATAGGTCTTTCAACAAGAAATACATATGTGAAGTATAAATGTCCTGGTATCTACTGTTCAAAAGATATGACCAAAGTAAAAGTTTGGAATTTTTGTGTAAAAGTGGGTCACACTCCAAGGTCAAAAGGTCAAATCTGGTGGTACTCAAAGAAAGGTCCTGTCACAAGGAATACACGTGAAATATGAAAGTCATAGCTCCACGAAATCAAAAGTTATGGGCAAGGTTAAAGTTTTTGCAGACAAACAGAGAGACAGAGAGACAGTCTATATACCCCTGATACTTCGTTTACGGGTGCATAATTATACATAAACAGACAGACAGAGAGACACTGGACAGACGGACGGACACGACAAAAACTATATACCCCCGAAACTTTGTTTACGGGGGCATAATTATAGAAAAACTTGTTCAAATATATAATTTTGAAGCTGAAAGTTCCAAAATAATTGGTTCTTTATAAACATATTTGAATTGTGAATATTGTTGAAAACCTATTTAAAATTTGCAAATGGAATTTTTCTATTGAGTTTGAATTTTGATTTTTTCTTTTTTTTTTCAAAAACCTATCAACAGGAAGATGGAATTGCCTAAACAAGAGGCCCAGGGGCCACATTGCTCACCTGAGCAATTGGCTAAGAAAAAGCACACATCAGATCAGAACTGAAAGTTTACCAAGGGGGGGGGGGGGGGGCTTGAATTTTAACCCCCCGGGGGGGTCATGATTAGAACAAACTTCAATCTACACTACCTGAGGATGATTCCTTATAAATATTACTAAGCATGGCTTTAAAGTACTTGAAAAGAAGATTTAAAAAGTAACTCTCCCTAGATATTCCTATGTAAAACTTTTATCGGCCATTATGGCCCCATGCTACCGCCGGGGGTCATGATTTCAACAAACTTGAATCTACACTACCTAGGGATGATTCCACAGAAGTTTCATCTTTCCTGTCTCAATGGTTCTTGAGAAGAAGATTTTTCCTATATATTCCTATGTAAAAATTGATCGGCCATTTTGGCCCCACCATACCCCCCAGGGTCATGATTTGAACAAAATTGAGTCTACACTAACCTGAGGATGATTCCACATGAGTTTCATCTTTCCTGGTCCAGTGGTTCTTGAGAAGAAGATTTTTCCTATATATTGCTCTGTAAAACTTTGATCGGCCATTTTGGCCGCATCCTAACCCCAGGGGTCATGATATGAATAAACTTGAATCTACACCACCTGAGGATGATTCCATATGAGTTTCATATTTCCTGGCCCAGTGGTTGTTGAGAAGAAGATTTTTTAAGATTTTTCCTATATATTGCTATGTAAAACTTTGATCGGCCATTTTGGCCCCACCCTAACCCCAGGGGTCATGATTTGAACAAATTTGAATCTACACTACCTGAGGATGATTCCACATGAGTTTCATCTTTCCTGGCCCAGTGGTTCTTGAGAAGAAGATTTTTAAAGATTTTTCCTATATATTGCTATGTAAAACTTTGATCGGCCATTTTGGCCCCACCCTACCCCCAGGGGTCATGATTTGAATAAACTTGAATCTACACTACCTGAGGATGATTCTATATGAGTTTCATCTTTCCTGGCCCAGTGGTTCTTGAGAAGAAGATTTTTAAAGATTTTTCCTATATATTCCTATGTAAAACTTTGATCGGCCATTTTGGCCCCACCCTATCCCCAGGGGTCATGATTTGAACAAACTTGAATCTACACTACCTGAGGATGATTCTACATGAGTTTCATCCTTCCGGGACCAGTGGTTCTTGAGAAGAAGATTTTTTTAAAATGCCATTAATTTTTCTCTAATTCATAATTATCTCCCCTTGGAAAAGGGCGTGGCCCTTCATTTGAACAAACTTGAATCCCCTTTACCCAAGGATACTTTGTAGCAAGTTTGGTTGAAATTGGCCCAGTGGTTCTTGAGAAGAAGATGAAAATGTGAAAAGTTTACGACAACGACGACAACGACGCCAACGACGACAGACAACGGACAAATTTTGATCAGAAAAGCTCACTTGAGCCTTTGGCTCAGGTGAGCTAAAAAGGCTGTAAATCCATTTTGCTGTCACAAAAAAAAAATGCAGACTTAATTTAGATTAACATGAATGATACCATTTAATATCACATAAGGCCAGCATTTTTTTATTTTTAGGTTTACGAACATCAGAATGAAAAAGTCCTGTAGGAGGAGGAAATAAAAAAAAAAATAAAATTATATTTTGGATACATTATCGACTTTTCTACATTAATTTTTGCTTCTTTTTTTATGCTCTCCTAACAGGCTTCTTGCCACTGGACACATAAGGGTTACAAAGGGGAAAATATAACCTTTAATTGTTTATTTCATCATCTACCAGTTGGGGGCAGTGATATAAATCTTTTGATGTTGGACAAAATACAGATTTTTTAAAACAAAAAATCAATTTTTAAAATCTCTTTTAATATATCTTCATTTTTGTTTTTAATGTGTGTTAGGTAGAAATTAATCTAAAATATTAATTTACTCTAGACCTATAAAAGTAATAATTCCTTTCATAAAACAGACAGGGAGTATTCCCAAGGAGTATTGAGGAGTAGGGTGGAATTTTTTTCAATTAAGTGTAAAATAATTTTTCTGGCCACCATAAACGATACTATATGCCTGTATATATTTGTATATTCTTGTTTTTAAATAGTTGAAATATTTCATTTCTTTAGGCTATTGTTTATTTCTTCCTCAAATGGATTTAACTTCTCCCATAGTTTTATTCATTACATCTGATGCATAAGCGACCCTTTTCTGAAGAATGATGCTAAGACTGTAAGCTATGACAGAAACATAAACAATGTCTCTGACAATAGCTACCATGGGCAATTTTAAACCTGTGGGAGGAAAATAATTTACAATTACAGACCCAGTTACTTTTGAATACGGATACATAATTATCTCACCAACATGTCACTTTGCAACAAAGTCGTCAGCATTTTATTGTTCTCTGAACGGGTGAAACGTTTTGAATGGCACTCCTACCGATAAATATTTACATTAAATCAAGCTTTAGTGCTGCTATGGACTTGACACAAATCTCCCTTCATTACCCGCCATGTTCATTTAAAACCGGAAGTACGAGTTCGTAAATTTGAAATCTCGATCCCGACTCAAATTTGACATAGGAAAGAAAAAATTCTGTTTTTCTCAATTTTATTTTTTTTCTGAAAATGCAAAAACTTGAGCGGCGGGTTTGTAAACCTAAAAATAAAAAAATGCTGGCCTAAGATTGGAAACAAAGTCAAGTATACATGTATATTGTTCTTTATTAACCAAGTAAATTATTGGGCAAGACAGACTCATGGTGGTTCATTTATTTTCAGCTGAGCAGCACCTAAACGTATGAGTATATATAGTTTATTGAATGTCCCTGGGTCTTGAACCAGTCTGTCCGACTTTGCTATTTATGCTATATTTGTTGAAAGTAATAGGTTTTGCCAAAATATTTTTATGCGCCCGGATCGATAGATCCAAGGCATATATTGTTTTTGTCCTGTCTGTCTGTCTGTCTGTTTGTTTGTTTGTCTGCAAACTTTAACCTTCACCATAACTTTTGAATCATGAAAGACAGAAACTTCCTATTTGGTATGGATACTCCACTAATGAAACTCTTTCAAATGAAACAAAGGTCAATGACCCTGTGACCTTGACTGTGACCTATATGCTAAAAATATCTTTTTTGTATGTAAACTTTAACCTTCGCCATAACTTTTGAACCATGAAGGATAGAGACTTTATATTTGGTATGCGTACTCCACTAGTAAAGCTCTTTAAAATGACACAAAGGTCAATGACCTTGTGACCTTGACTGTGACACATGTACTAAATATAGCTTTTTTGAACCTTCACCATAACTTTTATACCTTGAGAGATTGAGACTTCATATTTGATATGCGTACTCCACTAAGTTCTTTCAAATGACGCCAAGGTCAATGAACTTGTGACCTTGATTGTTACCTATATGTTAAAAAATAGCTATTTCAAATTTTGTTGCCTCCGAGCGCATAGTGTTTCACAAACACATCTTGTTTATTTCAAAATTTAAAATACATTTACATAAAAAAGATAAACGCTGCATTATTCATCTATTCACTTAATAGATTAAACTTGCACCAAAAGTATTTAGAACTTTATTTAGAACTTGTCTCAATTTTCATTTTTAGCATTCTGGGTCTCAAAAGAAGGTGAATTTATCAAACTATGGAAAAATGGTTCACAAATCAACATTAAAGAAGACCCTAACATCACCTCCCAGGGAACTTGACAGAATGCTGAAATTCAAATTGTTTGAACAAAATGACATTTCTATGAAATCATCCGAAACAGAACATTTAAATCAGAACACTTCCTCAGACACCAGCTGTCGATCAGAACCAGTTTTAGTGGAATCTTGGGACATTGTGGAGGAGACGGTCCACAGACGATGGAAATCCCAATCCTGGTGGTCCCTCCCTCAAGATGGTCATCTGCCTGAACAGTGATCACCAACACAAAACACACTGTAGGGCAGCCAAACACCCCACAACTTGTTCTAATTTCACTCACCAACAAAAGATTAAGAAAATAAATTTTATTTTTTAGGTATTTTAGCTTATTTTCATTTGGCTTATTTTAAAATCAATACAGTTTCTATACTTGTACAATGATTATGAATGTTTGTCATATCTGATCTACAAAGGCACACACACTTTGTACAGTTTATAAGGGTTATATCCACTTAAATAGGTTATCTGTTTTCTTCCGTTGGGAGTTTTTGCTGAAAAAAAATGCAGTACATTAATATTTACCTTTATAAATCAACTGTAGCTTAAACTCTTGTTGATAGATTAATCCAATCCACATCATTGTGGTTAGATAAAATCCGTATTAGATATAAAACAAAGGAGACATTGATCACACTATTTTATACCTTCTGGAAGTTGAATCCATCTTCTGTCTTCATAATAATCCATTACTTTCTGAATTTCCTCTTCATTGTATTTAGGAACCTCAACTGGTATGAAAGGCTCTAAGAAGTCAATACCCTGAAATAAACACAGTCACCATGAAGAATGAATTTTTCTTGTGTTAGATTTTGGAATGTGGAATATAATCTATAAAGTATGGATTGATAAATACCTCTTTGCCAAGCAAATCTGTTGGCAGATATGGATCTCTATCACTAACATGTCGTAACCAGCTTTCCACAGAGCAAAGAGCAACTGCATTTTTCTGAAATGGGCAGAAAAAAATCATTAATTAATGTGATTGTATAATTGTCAACATTTTGATATGATCTCTCAAGAAATTGCAATATAAGCAACAGAACACAAACATACAGTATCTGATTGTAAGAGGTCTGAGAACTGTTTGACTAGACTCAACTGTTGAGCATGAATCTGAAAGAGAGAAAGATGATCTTATTTAATAATCATGTTAAGGTTCAAAATCAGTATGATCAAAATCAGATCACCAGGTCTGAGGACTATCAAAACAAAATTTAAACAATCTTAAATCTTCTTGATGATCAATGTCTTTTTAAATGTCACTAATCACTAAGATGATTAACAAAAGATCTTTTACCTAGTATGCAATCCATTCTTTAAATCTGAAAACTTCCTATTAAAGGTTCCAAGGTACCAAAAGGGACCAAGATTTAAAATAAACTTAAATCTACAGATTTTAAAGAGGGCTTCACAAAAAAAAATTGTTCCTTTGTGGTTAAATGGTTCTCTAGAAGATAAATTTTTATGATATCCACCATATCTTTGCCTCTTCTTGATTATCTCCCATTTTTAGAGGACAATGCCCTTCAACTGAATAAACTTGAATCCCCTTTAACCAAGGATACTCTTTGCCTTGGAAGACATGCAGTCTTTATCCCCTGGAAGGACCTTCACACACCAGCTGGACAATGAATCAAGTATCCTTGTATTACTAGTCAGGTGCTCTAACCAGATAGCATCCAAGGCACATTGCACATCACTCAAACCACTTCACTGTCAGCACAGGGGCCAGTAACATACTATATAAGATTCTACGTATCACTTTATACACAACAAGAGGCCCATGGGCCACATCGATCACCTGAGTAACTGTGGTGATGAAGTTCTTTACCAGATTTCCCCTCTTGTTATACCTTTTGTGGCCCCCTAAAGGCCTCAGGCAGACAGTTTGGTTCTTGGGTCCGACAAAATGCACATTGCCCGAGAACTCAGTCAATAAATGTATATTGTAGTTTAATTCTATAGTTATTATTTTATTGGCTGCAGGTATTTTTTTGAAATAGGAAATAGGAAATATTTCCAAGATCAGCATATGTGCTGACGGTGGTTCCCTTTTCCATTTTGTACCATATTGATTACAAAAAAATTAAATATAGTATGTTATCGGCCCCTGTGACTGTCAGGTTGAATTAAAAACAAAAGACCCATGGGCCATATCACTCACCGAAGCACTGTGGCAAGGAAAAAAGCAGAAATCAGTTCAGTATTAAAAATTTTAAATCTATAGGAGGTCCCCACCTACCCTTAAAGGTGAGAGGGGGATGATTTGAACAAAATTGAATCTACACTAAGGATGCTTGCATATTTCTTTGACTAATTGGCTTTTTTACCCTTGAAGTTTTAACTTGCATTGTATTATGGCCCTACCCCTATATTCCTGTTATTTTCCTATATTTCTGTGTAAAACTTTGATCGTTCATTGTGGCTCCACCCCATCCCTGGGGGGTCATGATTTGAACAAACTTGAATCTACACTACCTGTGGATGTTTTCCAATAAGTTTCATCTTTCCTGGCATCATGCTTCTTCAGCAGAATTTTAAAACAAGCCATCAAATTTTCACTATTTTTTTAATAATCTCCCATTGAATGAGGGCATCACCTTCATTTAGACAAACTTGCCCTTTACCCAAAAATATTATGTAGCAAATTAGATTAAAATTGGCCTAATGGTTCTGGGGAAGAAGTTGGCAATGAAACAAATTTACAGACAGATGGACAAAATGTGATCAGGAAAGATCACTTGAGCTTTCAGCTCAGGTGAGCAAAAAATAAAAAGTTTTAGATAAACTTAAAATATGTTTACAATTGAATGTGCACACAGTTGGAATTCTAAGTCCTGTATAGCTCCAACTTAATTGAATGGGACATAAAAAATAAAAAATTAAGGCAGCCAAAAGAACAAACAAAAAAACCACTGACCTTTTTAACTTTTTCCTTCCTCTGACCAGTTGTCATCCAAAATGCATTAATACCCCGAACAGTAATCAACAGTTTTATTCTGAAAGAAATTTGCAAATGCTGTCTTATTTTTTGATTTACAATCTAATGAGGATATATAACATTGTTGATTAATATCATTTATATATGATGAAAGAAATTGCATGCTTCAGCTCAGTATTTGAACTCAGGTCCATTTACCTTTGGACAAGCACTATACCAACAGATAAAATAAGAGGCCCAAGGGCCTTATAGGTCACCTGAGTATCATGTAAAAACTTTCCAACAATTGAATTGGTTTGTGTTTTAAATCAAAGGCCATAAAATTCAAAATTTTGAAAGAGGCACTATTGCTTATCATAACTATACACTTAGCTTGCTTACTTTGGTCATTTAATACCCAGACGTAGATCAGAGTAACAAAGAGAAAATACATTTCCACTTTATAACCAGTTGTGCACCACACCCCATAGGAACCTCTGACCCTGGGGGCACATATTTCAAAATTCTGGAAATTTTATCATAAATTTTATTTCATCATCATAGGTTGATTAATACCAAAAAGCAGATTTCAAAGCATTAATTTATTTTCAGACTATATAACCCCCACCCCCACCCCAAGTACCCTGACCCATGGGCCCTGAAATTCACCATTTTGGAAGAGGCACCTTTCATCATCATTAATATGTACTTAGAACATTGCCATAATACCCAGGAGCAATGGAAAAGGTTTTCAAAGAATTCATGCAATTTCACTATATAATCATTAGAGCCCTGCCCAAATACCAAAACCCCTGACACTGGGGCCCTGAAATTCACAAATCTGGAAGAGGCATCCTTCCTAATCATAACTATGTACATAATTCATTGGTTTAATACTCAGGAGCAGAGTAGAAGATTTTTAATGAATTAATGTATTTTCACTATATAATCAATAGAGGCCTACCCTAACCCCAGAAACCCTGATCCTGAGGCCATATGAAATTCACAATTTTGGAAGAGGCACTCTTATTCAACATAACTATGTACTTGATTAGTTTGTTTAATACCCAGGAGCAGAGAAGAAGATTTTCAAAGAATTTATGCATTTTCACTTTATTAATTAATATAGCCCCGCCCTAACACCAGGACCTCTGACCCCGTGACCATGAAATTCATAATTTTGAAAGAGGCAGCCTTATTCAACATAAGTATGTATTTGGTTTGTTTATTACATACCCAGGAGCAAAGAAGAAGATTTTGAAAGAAATAATGCATTTTCACTATATAATTTATATAGCCCCACCCTTGCACCTAAGAAACCCTGATCCTGGGGCCATGAAATTCAAAATTTTGGAAGAGGCAGCCATATTCATCATAATTATGTACTTATTTAGTTTATTAAATGCACAGGAGCAGAGAAGAAGATTTTCAAAGATATAATGCATTTTCACTACATAATCTATTTAGCCCCGCCCTACCACTAGAACCCCTGACCCCAGGGCCATGAATTTTCACAATTTTGGTAGAGGAATCAATGCTAGGTAAATCAGTCATACAGTCCGACTGCTTGATGTCCAGGAGAAAAGAAGAAGATTTTTAAAGACTGCATTAATTTTAGTGGTTTTGGCCCCACCCCTCTTCAAAAGGGATATAATATATGAATTAATGAAAAATTGATGACATCTTTTAAAAATCTTCATCTCAAGAACCACTGGGCCAGGAAAGATGAAACTCATGTGTAATCATCCTTAGGTAGTGGAGATTCACATTTGTTCAAATCATGACCCCCGGGGGTAGTGTGAAAAACTTATACAAATCTCAATATGCTTGTGGCTGAGGGTATTTGCTGCCCCTTGTCCAATTATCCCCTGGTGTTAAGTTAGCTGCAGAACTGTAGCTCTCTGCTTGAGAAGCAGAGAGCTACAGATCCATGGGTTACAAAAACCTTCGATTTACACCGCCAATTTTTTGTCGCACACTTCAGGTATTATTTCTTATATTTTATGTTTTTTCCAGCTTTATAAATGATATATGATAATTAATCATACATTTAACTCCTATTCAAAAATGTATAATTATTTACCTTTCAACTGTTCAAGAAGGGCCGTTTGTGGAAGTGGACATAAAAAAGGGAATCAATTAAACCGACATTCCAAATCTATAGGGGACTGTTTCGGACCATTGAAAGATAAATAAAGTATCAATAATTTGAGTAAAATATATGATTAATTATCAGATACCATTCTAAGAGCGTAAAAAACATAAACTACAAGAAATAATACCTGAAATACCTGATTAGGCGACAAAAAATGGGTGGCGTAAATCAACGGTTTTTACAACGCATAGATCTGTAGCTCTCTGTTTTATCTGTCCAAATTTTCTCAAGCAGAGAGCTTCAGTCCTAAAGCTAGTGTTTAGTATGATGTTGCTGGGATATTGATTATGATGTTGCTGATCTTATATATCATGATAAGCATATCTGAAGGGGCTCCCAATCATGACCCAATGTAGTTCCTCTATCATGGATGTTACACAGCCTGGTGTTCTCTCATAATAATTGCCCTTCACAAACCTCACTGCTCTCTTCTGAAAACTCTCCAGCATTAGTATTTGGGTCTGTTGCTAAGCACCCCTTACTGTTCCTGCATACCCCAAGGTGGGTCTGACCATTGTACTGTAAGCAGTAGATGTGACATCAGCTCTACATCCTGTAGGTTGCAGCGTAGAAAGCCTAGGATCTTGCATGATTTGGCTTGGATATTGCATAATTATGTGTTTCGTCCAATTTAGCTTGTTGTTTATAGTAACACATAAGTATTTTTCACTGTTGAGGAGGAAGTATTTGTTGTTTATGTGTTATTGTTTCCTGGAGATATGAATGACCGTACATTTCTGGGGGTAGAATTCCATATGCCACTCTCATTTCTCTAATGTCTGACTTCAAATCTAGCTTGAGTTGGAGAGTTGGCCGACATCTGCTAGGGAGTTGATTTTTCAATAGAGCAGATAGTCATCAGCAAATAATTTCACATTTAATGAAGTATGCTCGGGCAAGTCATTGATACAATAGGTGAGACAATGTAATGATCCCATTACAGTCCCCTAGGGGACCCCTAAATGACATCAGCTCTGGTAGAGGATTGATCCTCAAAGGTGACTTGCTGTGTCTGATTTGCCAGCAAGTCCTTGACCCAGTTGTTTTTCCTTTGACGCCATGAAAGTGCAGTTTGTGTAGGAGTCGTTGATGTAACACTTTGTCAAAGGCCTTTGAAAAATCTAACAGCACTATGTCTCCAAGTTCCAGTTACTTGGTCACCTTGTCCACTGTAATCAATAACTGTGACTCACATGATCTTCATAATCTGAAACCATGTTGTTGATCTGCCAGTATATGGTTGCTGCCATAATGATCCAGTAATTCTTGAGTCCATAAGTTTATGAACAAGACATAACACACAGATAGATAGATGCAATACACGCTATGAACAGAACTTAACGAGGCCCGATCTACTTGATCTGCGCATACGTTTTAACGCAGCGTCGACTCAGGCACGTCACAATACCCTTGACTGCCGTCACAATTGAACACAATAACGTCACAATTAAAATGACGTCAAATTGCGCTAAAATGTTTCGCCGATCTTGCTTACCTGGTAGCTTTATAGACTATGCATTAAAAGTTGGCATTATATTTCTATTATTTTTTTTAATATTTGAATTAATAAACAACTTTGGAACCTAGTTATTTTTGAGGGATCAATTTTTTGGTACAGATTCATTAATTTTATCCTGTTTTATTTCAATTTGTGAGTTAAAAAAAAACAAACACTGCAACTAAAAGTAAACGATTTTAGTCTTTCTCTTCGAACATGTTGAAGTGTTTAAATACACACTCTTTTTATTGCGGACTTAAATATGCATGGATTATCTTCAGTTTTTTTTAAAATAAAATAAGTCTATAAATCATTTAAATTAAACCCCCGAAATATTTTATTTTTCTATATATTACATGATATTAGTAAAAATCGCAATTTGTCGCCTTTACCCCCCCCCCCCCCCCCCCCTCCTCCTCCCTCTACCCCTTTTTTTCAATGTAAAACAATGTCGCGTGTTAAGAGAAAAATAAAGCATGGCGAGAAAATTATTTCATAATATAAGAATTATTTATTTTTTAGAAACTAATACAGTATTGCAATCGTGTGTTGGTGTTATGTAAACCCATTGCGACCTACAAAATACGTAGTTGGATAGAATAAATCCAAATTTTGTATTTTGACATGCCCCCTTTTCACTGCAATAAAGGCTACCTCCCGTTTTCTTTTCATTTTTTATAAGAAGAATGAAAATTGCATGATATATGTGAAAAACAAAGAATTTCATCATGTATTTTTTTTTATTTATGAATTTCTTTGTTTATTGAAGACTTTTAGTATGTAATTGTGTATAAAAACACGAAAAATGGTCCATATCTTGACAGTGCCCCCATTTCACTACAATAAAGGCAAGGTAACAAAATTTCGTTCTAATTTTTCTAAGCATAAAACATACAAGTATATTTCGAAGAATTAAAATTTTTTATCATTCCGTTTTCGTAATTTTCAACTAGATCGGGCCTCGTTAAAACACCAAACAGTCTGCCACATTGGGTGTTTTACTGACTTTTAAGATGTTTAAATTGTCAAAGGAACAACTTAACTCAAAGAGAAATGAAATGACTTTAAGCTTTTCTACTGTCAGTTTCTCCAATTAATGTATTTTTATTTCTAAACACCTGCATGTAGTGATAATGTCTTCATACTGAATTGGTTAGATCATGTTCTGAATACAGTAATACCGGTATTTTTACACTACTCAAGGAATTTTTAAATGACAAACTAGAAATATATCCATAAGACAAAAATGCCTTGTCCAGGGAACATACATGAACATTTGTTTTATGGTATGAAGTTTGATGAAAATATGTTGAGTAATTTGTTTTATAAAAAATAAATAGAAAGACCAAAGAATGTACTGATGCATAAGCTTACAATTTTTTTTTAATAATTTAGAATCTACACTACCCAAGGATGCTTTCACTAAAGTTTCAGCTTTTCTGGCCCAGTGGTTCTTGAGGAGAAGTTTTTTAATGACCCCACCCTATTTTTGCCTTTTCTTGATCATCTCCCCTTGTAAGGAGACTTGGCCCTTCATTTTTATAATTTAAACTCCCCTTCACCCAAGGATGCTTTGTACCAAGTTTGGTTAAAATTGGCCCAGTGATTCTTGAGAAGAAGTTGAAAATGTGAAAAGTTTACAGACGGATGGACGGACAACGGGTGATCTTTCATATGAGCTTTTAGCTCAGGTGAGCAAAAAATAGATCATTGTTGAAAGAAAAGAAAAGAAGAAAATTCAGATCATATGATGTGGAGTTCCATTTCTTCCAAATAAGCTATCTGGCATATATTGAACTTGTCTGATTATCACGCTTTCACCGAGACAAATATAAACGTTCATTGATCAATAATTAAATTTTAGTAGTAACATGTCATTTGATTGGGTAAAAGATTTAATCCATTTTGTAAAACATAACTTGCCTACGTCACAATGAGTTACGTCAAAAACGTTTTACTCCACTTGACATTACGTTTAAAATATGCTAAATTTGAAACCTTTTTTTCGGAGGAAAAATTGTCTCATTGTCAACACTGAAATTAAATTATAAGGAATGAAGCTTATTTCAACTTATGTTATATGATATAACATAACTTGGGGCAGTTTACGCTTTTTTATAAACCATTTCGCAGTTTATAAAGCATAAACTGCCCCAAGTTATGTCATATCATATCACAAAAGTTCATATAAGCTTCATTCCTTAAACAAGAGGCCCAAGGGCCACATCGCTCACCTGAGCAACTTTGGCCATTCTGTCATTTAACAGATTTCCCCCTTTGTAATACCTATCTTGACCTTGACAATCCTAAAGGGTAACAAGAGGCCCACGGGCCTTATATGTCACCTGAGCATTATGCAACAACTTTCCAGTTACAGTGTACTGTAGATCACTAAATTTTCGCGACACCTTATTTTCGCGAGATAGTCATTGACTCTTGATTAGCGAGACAAAATTTTCGCGATTCGTGGTTACTGCTCTATATATTCTTAAGGAATACTACTATACGCGAGAATTAAATTTTCGTGAGCACATTGTCTCGCGTAATTACGCGAAAATAAAGTTTTCGCGAATAAAAAGTGATTTACAGTATTGAATTTGATTCATGTTTTAAGCCAGATGCTATATGGCATTCACAATTTTGAAAGGGCACCATTGATCATCATAACAATAAACTTAGCAGTTGCTTAGCTTGGTTACTGAATACCCATACGCAGGGTAGGGGAACAAAAATGCACTCCAACTGATCAGTAATATTCATCAATAATCAGTAGTGCCCCTAACACTCTGACATAAACCCCTGACCCTAGGTTGCACAAATTTTTAAAAGGCACCCTTAAAATTGCCTATCAAAAAGTAAATAAATTTTTTATAAATACAAGGCCTAAAATAAAATTAAGTTTGTTTGCAGTTGCCTACCGACCCACTGAAAATGCAACCGACCCAATCTTTTTTTTAGCCATTTGGTAATTTGATTTTTTTTTTTCAATTTTTCAGAATATTGAAACAGTTTCGTTTACAAATTTTGACACGTTTTTTATCATTAAGTAGTTTATAACAAAAGGTGAGCTTATTCATGTCTAGTAGATGTATAAAAACCTCTTTTAATTGTTATCTAACAAAAATCTGATTTTTTTTCCCCCCAAAAAAAAGAATGCCTACCTACCGGCCTAATCTAAAAATTATAGGTCGGCAACTGCAAACAAAGAATTTTTTAAGATTGGCCCAAAGGACCAGATTTCAAACAATTAATTCATTTTCAGTATATAAGTAGAGCCCCCCCCCCCCACCCCTGACCCTGGGGCCTTGAAATTCAAAATTCTGCAAGATTAGGGCCCTTGCTCATCATAACTATATAGGTAGTTCATCTGCTTCATACCCAGAGACAGAGAAGAAAATTTTCAAAGATTTAATGTATTTTCACTATATAATCAATAGAGCCCCACCCTAACACCAGAACCCCAGACCCTGGGGCAATGAAATTCATAATTTTAGAAGAGGCATTCTTGCTCATCATGACTATGCACTTACTTAGTTTATTTAATACCTAGGAGCAGAGAAGAAGATTTTCAAAGAATTCATGTATTTTCACTTTATAATCAAAAAAGCCCCCCCCCCCCCCCCCCCACCACCAGAACCATTGACGCTGGGGCCATAAAATTCACAATTTTTGTAGAGGCACCCTTGCTCATCATAACTATGCACTTAGTTAGTTTATTTAATACCTAGGAGCAGAGAAGAAGATTTTCAAAGAATTCATGTATTTTCACCATATGATCAATAGAACCCCCCCCCCCCCCCCCCCCAAGCACCAGAACCCTTGACCCTGGGGCCATAAAATTCACAATTTTGGTTGAGGCACTCTTGCTCATCATCATTATGCACTTAGTTAATTTATTTAATACCTAGGAGCAGAGAAGAAGATTTTCAAAGAATTCATGTAATTTCACTATATAATCAATAGAGCCCCCCCCCCCCACCCCCAACACCAGAACCCTTGATGATAGGGCCATTAAATTCACAATTTTGGTTGAGGCACACTTGCTCATCATAACTATGCACTTAGTTAGTTTATATAATACCTAGGAGCAGAGAAGAAGATTTTCAAGGAATTCACATATTTTCACTATATAATCAATAGAGCCCCCCCCCCCCCCACACACACACACCAGAACCCTTGACCCTGGGGCCATAAAATTCACAATCTTGGTTGAGGAACACTTGCTTATTATAACTATGTACTTAGTTAGTTTATTTAATACCTAGGAGCAGAGAAGAAGATTTTCAAAGAATTCATGTATTTTCACTTTATAAACAATAAAGCCCCCCCCCCCCCCACCAGAACCATTGATGCTGGGGCCATAAAATTCACAATTTTTGTAGAGGCACTCTTGCTCATCATAACTATGCACTTAGTTAGTTTATTTAATACCTAGGAGCAGAGAAGATTTTCAAAGAATTTGTAATTTCACTATATAATCAATAGAGCCCCCCCCCCAACACCAGAACCCTTGACCCTGGGGCCATAAAATTCACAATTTTGGTAGAGGCACTCTTGCTCATCATAACTATTTACTTACTTGGTTTATTTAATACCCAGGGGCAGAGAAGAAGATTTTCAAAGAAATCATGTATTTTTACTATATAATCAATAGAGCCCCACCCTAACACCAGAACCCCTGACCCTGGGGCCATAAAATTCACAATTTTGGTAGAGGCACTCTTGCTCATCATAACTATGTACTTAGTTGGTTTATTTAATACCCAGGAGCAGAGAAGAAGATTTTCAAAGAAATAATGCATTTTCACTATATACTTATTTAGCCCCGCCCTAGCACTAGAACCCCTGACCCCAGGGCCATGAATTTCACAATTTTGGTAGAGGACTCAATGCTGATTACAATCATGCAAATAGTTTGACTGCTTGATGTCCAGGAGTAAAGAAGAAGATTTTTAAAGATTGCATTAATTTTAGTGGTTTTGGCCCCACCCCTCATGCCCCAGGGGGGCAGGGATCATGAAATTCAAAATTTTTGTTCCCCTTCACCCATAGATGCTTTGTGCCAAATTTGGTTGAAATTGGTTCAGTGGTTGCAGAGAAGAAGCTGAAAATGTTCAAATGTTAACACACGACACACGACGGACGACGACGGACGAAAACAGATAGCAATAGGTCACCTGAGTTTACTCAGGTGACCTAAAAATTCAAACAATTTAGAATCTACACTACCCTAGGATGCTTCCACATAAGTTTCAGCTTTTTTAGTCCAGTTGTTCTTGAAAAGAACATTTTTTTCCCATATACTTCAATGTAAAACTTGAATTCCCTATTGTGGCCCCGCCCTACCCCTGGGGGTCATGATTTGAACAATTTAGAATATACACTACCCAAGGATGCTTCCACATAAGTTTCAGCTTTTCTGGCTCTTGAGAAGAAGATTTTAAAACTTTTTTCCTATATATTTCTATGTAAAACTTGGATTCCCTATTGTGACCCCACCCTCCCCCCAGGGTCATGAATTGAACAATTTAGAATCTACATTACCCAAGGATGCTTCCACATTAGTTTCAACTTTTCTGGCTCAGTGGTTCTTGAGAAGAAGATTTTTAAACTTTTTTCCCTATATATTTCTATGTAAAACCTGGATTCCCTATTGTTGCCCCGCCCTACCCCCAGAGGTCTAGTGGCCTAGTGTTTCTTGAAAAGAAGATTTTTAAAGATTGTTCCTGTATATTTCTATGTAAAACTTGGATTCCCCATTGTGGCCCCGCCCTACCTCAGGGGGTCATGATTTTAACAATTTAGAATATACACTACCCAAGGATTCTTCTACATAAGTTTCAGCTTTTCTGGCCCAGTGGTTCTTAAGAAGATTTTTTAATAACCCCACCCTAATTTTGTATTTTCTTGATTATCACCTCTTGGAAGGGAACTTGGCCCTTTATTTTAATAATTTAAATTCCCCTTCATCCAAAGATGCTTTGTACTAAGTTTGATTAAAATTGGCCTAGTGGTTCTTGAGAAGAAGTTAAAAACGTGAAAATTTACAAACGGACGGACGGACAACTGGACAGACGGACGGATGACGGACTACAGGTGATCAGAAAAGCTCACTTAAGCGTTCATCTTTGCTATCCAAAAGTTCCATTCAGCTCTTTTCTACTTTCATCCTTGTTTAGCAAAAGTGGTACAGACAAATCAAAGAACTTAAAAACTTACTTATCATTGTTAGCCAGGTGTTTTAGTTCCTGTAAAAGAGCTCCCACAACATCACTGGCAAACTTCATTCTACTGATGCCCTGTCATCCAAATAGAAACTAGAACTGTCCAAACGGGACAAAATACCCCCCGCTGGGTTTTTCAGAAGTGCTAAATCATGAATATTTTATGGATCTCAGAGAAGAGAGAAATGCTAAAACATTTTTAGTGCAATGTTATTGCTCATTATATTTTTTTATAAATGAAACGAAGGAAGAGCCTAATAAAAGAAATAGACTAAATATACGGACCAGACAGGAATTATGAACTTTTTTCTGTCAGTGACCTTGAACTTGCATAAATGACCTTGGTTCAAAGTCATGACACAACCTCAGGTCATAAGCAATGTTTGTGTGAAGTGGTAGATTCAAGTTTTTCCATAACAAAGAAAGATATGACCGGACACAAATTATAAAATTTTTCTTCCAGTGACCTTGAACTTCCCAAATGACCTTGGTTCAAGGTCATGACACACCCTTACGTTACAGGCAATCTTTGTGTGAAATTAGAACCTACCAAGTTTATCCATAAGAAAGATATGGACCGGACACGTATTATGAATTTTTTCTTCCAGTGACCTTGGACTTCCTCAAATGACCTTGGGTCAAGGTCAAGACACGCCCTTAGGTCATGGACAATCTTTGTGTGAAATAAGAACCTACCAAGTTTATCCATAAGAAAGATATGAACCGGACACGAATTATGAATTTTTTCTTCCAGTGACCTTGAACTTCCTCAAATGACCTTGGGTCAAGGTCAGGACACACCCTTAGGTCACGGGCAATCTTTGTGTGGAGTAGTAGATTCTAATGTTCCTCTGTAAGAAAGATATGGACCGGACACGTTTGCACAGACAGAGGGACAGCTAGACAGACGGACGGACGGACAGGCGGACAGATGGTCAGACGGACAAGGTGATTCCTACATACCCCCCCCCCCCAAACTTCGTTTGCGGGGGGTATAAAAAAAACTTTATCAGGAATTATAATTGAACCACAGACAAGTTACTTTTGAAAATTTTAAACTTAAAATTTATTGCATTTCACTGTTTCCTTTCTAAAAGGATATGTTTAAAAGCTCTCTATCACAAAGATACTGGCAACATGACAGAATACATATGAAAACACTTAATCTTATATGTAGTTATTCTGGGGACACATGAATGTACAACCTTTACCACCAGTCTACACACGTACTATTGTACAACTTTTACCACCAGTCTACACATGTACTATTGTATAGGATCACCCATACTTAAAAATCCTATACTCCACTTACAAAGGACACTAAATCTATCAGAGGTACTCCCTGCTCCGAGGATTCTTGTTCTGAGAATTCATATCTTGTACTGGTCTGAAAAATGAACATGCTCTTGAATACATTCTGGAGAAAAAGGCAAAAGTTATCATAAGCACTTGTTTGAAAAAAATTATTTTTAACATTTAAAGCTGAACGTGAACTGTAAAAGAAAGTGTTCCTATTATTCAGAGAAAGTTTACCTCAGCAACTTATATGTATAACAGAAGGGTTTTTTAGGTCTTAAAATCCAGGGCCTGGCCCTTTCCATTTGGGAAAAATAGTGACATTTGGTTAAAATTGGGAAAAATATATAGATATTTAATTAATATTTTTATAAATAAATTCATTTAGGATTTCTTTTTTTTCGTTTGACTTACTTTACATTCAGTCAATCAGTTTGGTTCATGCCTTTTAGATTTTTTAAAATTCCATTCCTAATGTACATGTTACTGACTCCAGACATTTTTAACCATATTTGTTTTGGGAATTTTCTTTTATGAAATTGGAAAAAAAACACATACTTTTTATCATTGGAAATTGGCCCAATACAGGCCCCCTATGACCTCTAAAAACCCTGATACATGGTATTCATGATGTATTTTTTGTTTCTTCATCATTACAAATACATGCACACTCATTCTTTGTAACTTACATTGTATTTTTGAAAAAATACTACAGACTGAGCTAAAACTTACTTTGAAATCCTCAATTAGATGAGAATTTTTGATCAGAAAATCTTCCAGCAGGTTTTTAGAATGTATAGGTAAATCAAAGAGGAATTCCGTGTGGTTGCTATATGATACTTTCAATCTTCTACAATTCCAGTCATTGGCTAAAACAGAAACATATGTTATCAAAGATTACAAAGCTTACCTAAATAAATTTTATATGTAAATATAGAAAAGACTTGCACCAAAAAAATATACTAGTACAACGTAGTTTCAGACCTATGTGCAATATTTAGTAATGGACTTGCTCATTAAATGAGGGGGTTTTCAGTCCTAAGATACATGTGCTTAAAGTGGAATAAATCAACTCATTCGTGTTTGTATTATCATGCTTTCCCATGATTTACTTTTAAGTTTTGTAGGTTATTCTTGTACATGTATCTGTGTTGTCTCTTGTGCAACAGTTTCATTAGTACATGTAGTGGGGAAAAAAATTCAAACGTTTTTTCATGTTATCTCATGAGAATTCATCTGGGGGGAAAACTATTATGACTTGCTTTTCTTATTAATTGCATTTAAGAAATAACGATTCAAATTTCATTCCAGCAAAAAATTAAATTTTTCAAGCTTAATAAAACAGTTAAGGTATAATATGATGTCTTTTTTCTGATATGTGACCAATATTTACCCCATGGTACAGTTAAGGTAATCCAGTTCTGGTTTCTGCAAAAATGCATCACATGTGTCATAGTAAATTTTTTACCAGCATTCATTTCTCCATCTACATGTTGTTAAGAATCCATTTGTATAAAAAATACAGTGTAAATAAGAATGTATATAAAACAGGTATATACTACTAGCCTCAACCAATCTTATCTTCACAGGATTTGATCATGTGACAAAGTAAGTTCATTTCCCAGAGAACTTTTTCAGATTGTTGTATATTTCTTAAATATTTTACATCAAAAAGACAATATACAGTCCAACCTTGTCATCTCTACCCTGACAGGACCAAGATTAAACTTACAGACACACAGTGATTCAAAATAGAAAGGGTAGACTATACATACATAACAAGAGGCCCAAGGGCCACACCGCTCACCTGAGCACTGTGGCTAAGAAAAAAAAAATCAGATAAGTATAGAAAAAGCTTTAATGCATAAGTGGTTCTGACCTACTACTAAAAAAAAAGAAGGGGGGGGGTTGATTTGAACAAAATTGAATCTTAGCTAAGAACTTTTTTCCTACAAGTTTGAACTTTCATTGTGGTGCCACCCTACCCCTTGGGGTCATGGTTTAAGCAAACTTTAATCTTCATTATCTGAGGATGCTCCAATATATATATGACAAACCATGGCTTTGCAGTTCTTGAGAAGAAGATTTCTAAAGATTTTTCCTATCGTCCATTGTGGCCCAAGCCTACCCCTTGGGGTCTTGAATTACACAAATTTGAATCTATACAACCTAAGAATGCTTCCTTATGACCAATCATGGCTTTGTTGTTCTTGAGAAGATTTTTCCAATATACCTGGTTTCCTAGTATGTAAAACTTTGATTGTCCATTGTGGCTCCACCCCACCCCCAGGGGTGATGATTTGAACAAACTTGAATCTACACAACCTGAGGATGCTTTCACATAACTAGATTTAGACAAACTTAAATCTTCACCATCTGAGGATGCTTCAATATAAATTTGACCAATCATAACTTTGCTGTTCTTGAGAAGAAGATTTATGAAGATTTTTCTTATACAGTCCTATGTAAAACTTTGATCATCCATTGTGGCCCCACCCTACCCCCAGGGGTCATGATTTGAACTTTTTTTTGACAATGATTCCACATGAGTTTCATCTTTTCTGGCCCATTGGTTCTTGTGAAGAAGATCTTTCAGTGATTCCATTAATTTTTCACTATTTTGTAAGTATCTCCCATTGGAGGAGGGAGTGGCCCTTCATTTGAAGAAACTATAATCCCCTTTACCCAATGATACGCTATGCCAAGTTTGATTGAAATTGGCCCAGTAGTTTTGGAGAAGAAGATAAATTGTGAAAAGTTCATGACAATGACAACAACGACAACAGACAATGGACAAATTTCTATCAGAAGAGCTAACTTTGAGCCTTCGGCTCAGGTAAGCTAAAATGTCAACTCAAATTGACAAATCTGGATATTCAAGATATTAGTATTTGAGATAATGAAGATCAACTGTAGTTAGACTTTCAATAAACAATTTCCTTTCAATGCATTCTGAAATTTTAACTTCAGAAGTCCCATATCAATATCACTTGCAGTACAGACTGTTGAGAGCTATTTCACATAACATTTCTTGTTTTATATTAAGAGAAAAAGTTTATCAATACACATGCAATAATTTGAAATACTGTGGAATCATCATTAGGTCACCCCTCACCCACAGATTTACGTCCCCATGAAAATTCTGAAAACATAATTAGTCTATGAAGCTACCTTTCATTCAATGAATTCTCCTTAGAATTATGTCCCCATGCAAGAACAGGTAAACCTTAGCTTGCCCACTAACATTGACCCCCAATGAATTAGAATGATTCCACAGTAATAATAAAATAATCTGAAGAAAACATAGTTTTATCAGATTTTCAATTTTTTTTCCAACTTACAAAATTTTGCTCTGTGACCTTCATATATGACATTAACCTGACATGAAGTAATGTGCTTGATCTTCTACTTAAAGTTCAGAGGTTATGGTCAGATTTAGTCAGATAATATGCATTTTCTCTCATCTATATCTCTGTATAATAAATTATAAATGTCAATCAAATGCATCATTTTATTAACAAGGCTTAGAAAAAGTATGACAAGGATACACAGTAGAAAACGTGTGATGGGATAGTTGTAATTTATCCTCCTTAAAATATCCATAATTTCTAGTGCTGGTCTTCTGATTAAGATACAATACTCCTGAAATGTTTTGTTCTGAAAGACAAGAAAATTCTAACTTTATGAAATTTTTCATTAAATTTTTTGAAAATAAATTAAACTAGTACTATGAAATAACCACTGCCTTGTCCAAATGACCTTGAGTCAATGTAACATGATCTCATATTCATAAGAGAAAGAAAATTGAACAGGATATTACTATTCAAATTGTCACTGATCATTATCTTGCCTAAATAAGACTGAAGTCACTTACTTTTTCTTATGTGTCTCCATAAGATACCTGTTTTATTAAGTTAAATCATAAGAGGACCAGAGGACAAGATTTATTGTCCCCTGCTTTCGCGAAAGCGAGGGGACATTAAATCTCATTTATCTGTCCGTCTGTCAGTCTGTCCATCACAAAAACATTAACCTTGCCCATAACTTTTGATTTAGTGGAGCTATGACTTTCATATTTCACATGTGTATTCCTTGTGATAAGACCTTTCTTTGGGTACCACCAAATTTGACCTTTTGACCTTGACTTGGAGTTTGACCCACTTTTACTCAAAAATTCCAAACTTTTACTTTGGCCATAATTTTGGAATGTACGACACTATAACTTTCATATTTCACATATATATTCTTTGTGACTAGACCTTTCATTGGAAACCAACAACTTTGACCTTTTGACCTTGACCTTGGAGATTTCCGAACTTATGAAAAAACTTTAACCTTGACCATAACTTTTGAATGGTAAGGGCTAGGGCTTTCATACTTCATATATGCAATTCTTGTGAGAAAACCTTTCATTGGATATCATTAACTTTGACCCTTTGACATTGACCTTGGAGTTTGACCTACTTTTCAAATACTTCGACCTTGGCCACAACTTTTGAACAGTAGATACTAGGACTTTCATATTTCACATATGTATTCTTTGTGGCAAGACTTTTCATTTAATATCAACAACCTTGACCTTCTGACCTTGACCTTGGTGGTTTTTCGTACTCATAAAACACTTTAACCTTGACCATAACTTTTGAATGGTAAGGGCTAGGGCTTTCATACTTTACATATGTAATCCTTGTGAGAAGACTTTTCATTGAATACCAAGAACTTTAACCCTTTGACCTTGACCTTGGAGTTCAGTGATGATTTCTAAATAAATTACATATGATAGGGTGTTCAATCATATTACACACAATATGTCATAAAAAATGACATCGCACCCACAGAGACACCGAATGCTGGGGACCACAATTCCTTGAATTTGCTTGTTTTTATTTCATTTTCAATGCTTCAGCAGTGGGATACTGATAATAGTAAATACCCCCCCCCCCCCCCCCCAAAAAAAAAAAAACCCATAGGTAATCAAAGATTATGAAGATCACCTCGACGAATATAATCAGTCTAAGTCATGCAAATCTCAGATCATATTTTCTTAACAGTTAGCATTTATTCTGACAACAATATTCAAGCAAGTTCTGTTTAAATAGGTCTTAAAATTCATTGGGGATTGACCTGTTCCAAAAAATTTAACCTCATCAATCATCTGGAAAATGTGGGTCAGATCTAACATCCGAAGCAAGTTTCCATTGTCCATCCTTAAATGCATCATCCATGCAAGTTTGGTCCAGGTAGGGCTAATAGTCACTTGGGAATAAACTAGTCACTGATCTGGTAAATGTAAGTCACATCCAGCATTCGAAGCAAGTCTGGTAGTGTCCATCCCTAGATGCATCATCCTTGCAAGTTTGGTCCAGGTAGGGCTTATAGTTACTTGGGAATGGACCTGCTCCAAAAACTTTAACCTGGTCACTTATCTGAAAAATGTAGGTCACATCAAGCATCCGAAGCAAGTCTGGTAGTGTCCATCCCAAGATGCATCATTTATGCAAGTTTGGTCCAGGTAGGGCTTATATTTACTTGGGAATGGACCCTCTCCAAAAACTTCATCTGGTCACTCATCTGGAAAATGTAGGTCACATCCAGCATCCGAAGCAAGTCTGGTAGTGTCCATCCCTGGATGCATCATCCATGCAAATTTGGTCCAGGTAGGGCTTATACACTGTAGTTAATTGGGAAAGGACCTGCTCCAAAAACTTTAACCTGGTCACTCATCTGAAAAATGTAGGTCACATCCAGCATCCGAAGCCAAGTCTGGTAGTGTCTATCCCTAGATGCGTCATCCATGCAAACTTGGTCCGGGTAGGGCTTATTGTTACTTGGGAATGGACCTGCTCCAAAAACTTTAACCTGGTCACTCATCTGGAAAACGTAGGTCACATCCAGCATCTGAAGCAATTCTGGTAGTGTCCATCCCTAGATGCATCATCCATGCAAGTTTGGTCCAGGTAAGGCTTATAGTTACTTGGGAATGGACCTGCTCCTAAAACTTTAACCGGGACGCCGACGCCAGGTGTATAGCATAAGCTCATCTTGACTTCCTCGAGGTGAGCTAAAAAGATGAAAGTGAAGTCAAAAGATAAACAACTTCTTACCATATTTTTTTCATGAGGACTCATCCAGTTATTAAACATAAGTTTATTGACATCATCCTGGGGAACTGAGTAGAATAATCCCTGCTGCAATGTGGTGTGCTCTGTCTGTAAGAGTTCAGATAATGTTCTTTCACAACATTACTTATTAAGGTAAAGATCTAGTAAATAAAAGGTGCCCACAGATATATCAAATTTAAGAAATAAATTCCTATAATGATGCTTTACAACTTCAGCTTGGTCAAAAAAAGGTGTTTTGGGGCATAATTTATAGGTAAACAAGATGAAAAATCATATTTTAAAAGTTGTAATTTCCAATGAAAAATTAAGAAAACCAGTCATGAATATGGGAGTTTTTTCCATATCTGCAGAAAAAGAAAATGTATCCAGATTGCCTACAGTCTTTCAGAAAACGGTAATTTGTATGTTCTTGGCCTCTTATACAAAATAATGACAAATTTAATATTGATATCATGACCACTTTTCATGTGATTTCAAATTGAATTCCATGAAAATACTTTATTTTCTCCATAATTCTAGTACTGTATTATCCCTATTAACTGCCCCTACCCCTATAAGCGCCCCCCTGGGTCTTTTTCAATTGTCAGGAAATAAGGGCCCCCTTTACAGTGAACAAAATCATTCAGAATCGCATCAAACACCATGTATATCCCAACATGCGGGGTGTATACTATGTTGTACGCGGGGTGTATGCTTCCAAAGCGAAAGAAAGGGGGTCAATGTACGTTCCTTGTCCATTTTAGAAGAGTTTGGACTTTCGCAGATAGTTACTGTTCCTACTAGAATAACAAGTACCTCAAGTACTTTAATTGATCATTTTTATACAACCAAACCGGAAAACATATGTGAAACAAATGTGCCCCCTATCGCTATTTCTGACCACTATCCTGTATGTTTGACACGGAAAACTAACTGCATACAGCGTAGAGGAAAACATACTGAAATCCAATACCGAGATTTTAAACAATTCAATGAAAATGAGTTTCTAAGAGATTTAGAAAATGCAAATTTTAACACTCTTCTTGAACTAAAAGACCCAAGCGAGATAATGAATAAATTTTATGAAATATATAATGATATTCTAAACAAGCATGCCAGAGTAAAAACTAAAAGAGTCAAGAATGAAACTCGACCTAAATGGCTTACACAGGAAATAAATGATGCTAGACATTTACGCGATACATATCATTTACAAAGGAATTCAGAAAATTACAAAATTTGGAGAAATAAAGTGACACAGTTAATAGATCAAGCGAAATCAAAGTATTACAAATCAGCAATTGAAGAAAGCTCAAGTCCTAAAGAAATGTGGAGTTATTTAAACCATTTGGCATCTAATTCCAAAAATTTTACACCTACCCGTATTACACAAAATGGTTTAGATTTTGAAGATTTACAGGATATTGTTGATATTTTTAACAAACACTTTACGGAAATATCCTGTAAATTATTAGCAGATATGTCTGTAGAAAGTTTTGATCCAGAATTATTAAATCGATACACAGAAACTAAACTAGGGAAAGAAAATGTTTTCAGTATTAATGAAATAAGTGAATTTGAAGTATTGAATATGTTGAATACACTTGATGTAAACAAGTCAGCCGGTATAGACTTTATCGGACCTCGTCTTCTAAAACTTTCGGCAAATGTTATATGCAAATCTATTACACATCTTATAAATGCTAGCATCACTAATGGAGTATTTCCGACCCATTTAAAACAAGCAAAAGTCACTCCTATTTTCAAAAATGGCGACCACACAGATCCAGGGAACTACAGACCGATATCCATTCTTCCAACATTATCAAAATTAGTTGAAAAACACATAGCCAATCAAATACGTAACTTTGCCTCTAACTTTGATCTTTTATTTAAATCACAATCTGGATTTCGAGAATTTCATTCATGTCAAACGGCCCTTACAAAACTTACAGATAATTGGCTACAAGCTATGGATCAAGGAAATCTAGTAGGCATAACTTTCATTGATTTTAGCAAGGCATTTGATTTAGTTAATCATGATATACTTATAAGTAAACTTCAATCATATCACTTTGATCAAATGGCTATTAAATGGTTTCATTCTTATTTAACCTCAAGGACTCAGTGTGTAAAAATAGGAACATATTCCTCTGATTTTTTGCCCGTCACAGCAGGAGTACCCCAGGGATCTATCTTAGGTCCCCTATTATTTTTATTGTATATAAATGATCTCCCTTTACATGTAAATAGAACAGATATTGATATGTTTGCTGATGATGCAACCTTACATACATATCATAAAAATATAGAAGGTATTGAGAATGCCCTAAACTTTGATTTGTGTGAGATTGAAAATTGGTGTTCCAAAAATCAAATGGTGTTAAATACCAACAAGACAAAATGTATGCTTATGGGAACACAACAAAGAAAATCAAGAATAAATTCCCCTGAACTAAATTTATATGCTTCAAACAAATTTATTGAAAATGTTGAATCTGAAAAACTTCTGGGAGTGCATATTGATCATTCATTGCGCTATAATCACCATATTGACTCAGTTTGTAAATCTTTGACATATAAATTATATACTTTACGCAAAATTAAAAAATTTCTTCCCTTACACACAAGAAAACTATTCTATAATGCATACATTCTGCCTTCTATGAATTATTGTCTTACTATTTGGGGTAATGCGCCAGGTGCTGGCATAGATAGAGTTTTTAAATTGCAAAAAAGGGCAGCCCGGATTATATTAGATGTGGCTTATGATGCCCCTTCACTACCATTATTTGAAAAACTTGGATGGCTGACCATATACGAGTTGATCGATTTTCATAAATATGTACTACTGTACAAAACACTTCATGGTATGGCACCTACTTATTTAAGAGACTCTTTTGAATTTATTTCTTCTAATAATTATGTTCTACGATCTGAAACAAACTATGACCTTCAACTTCCGAAATATCGAACAAATCAATTTAAAAATTCTTTTCATTATTCTGGTGTTCATTTATGGAACAAATTACCTTTGTATATACGTTTTTCACAGAATTTACACACATTTCGTAAAAATGTTGAAACATTTATTATAAAGTGTCGCAACTAAAATGTCCTAAAAATGTATTTTTACCTCATATTGTATTATTTATTTATTATTGTAAAATGTTTTTATTATTGTACATGTATTATTGGGAACATGCTAAGAGGGCCCCGAGGAAGACTAGTGCATTGCACTAATCGGGTTACCCTCTCAAAATAAAGTATTATTATTATTATTATTATTATTATTTTCTCAACTTACGGATATTTTTCGCCAAAAAGCATGTGCCTACGGAAGAAAGCATTATCTAAGGAGTATATGGATACCTATGAATCCACTGGACACCTTCTAGTTTTATCAAACACCTCAACACAATTCCGAGGATCGGAGCAAGATTGACGCTACACTGTGTTTAAGATCAAATATCAGAACAAAGCTTTGCTTTATCAGCACTTTTATATTATTGTTAAATACATGTTTACAATATAAACGTTTGTATAAATTGTCTTTAAATAAAACAGTTCGTATATAAAGATATTGACGAAAAATCAATGTTGTGTCCGGGGTGTATGCAACATGTTGTACACGGGGTGTATACCCCTCATTTTACTCTATAGTATCATTGTCTGAAATATCATTAAAAATTTCTTAAAAATTGACGTTTGTGAAAGTTCTATTTATATTTTAAATTATTTACCAGTTTTGTAATAGCACAACTTCAGGTTCATGAATTCGATTTGCTGAAAAAAAAAATGATACACGTTCATCGTACTTTTGGCTTTGCAGATGGAAGTAAATGTACAGGGTGCTTTGTTTAACTGTTTAATGTGATGACCAACAATTCATCCCTTCTTTTGATTTAAAGGCGCCTTAATCAGATCCTTCCTTAATAAATGCTTCACACATGCATCATTTTGAACATTTAACATTTTCTCATAATTTCTGTTTAACTTTTTTCAATTTTCTTTTAAATGACATTGAAAATATTTAACTTTTTGTAATGTCATAAACACCACAAAAAATGTTCTCCTTCAAGTACCGGGGTATTTATATGCTGTGTACTTTGCCCCCAGGAGCCCATATTTGGCGGTAAACTATTCTTGGAATGGGCTCGGGCAGGGTGTGTATGTGTCTTAGGTCATTTTTTGGGGGGTGGGGGGGGGGGGGGGGGTAGTTACTTTACTACATGTATATACGATAATAAATTAGAGGAGGGGTGAACATTTTTCCCAAAGCATTCTTTTTTTTTCAATTTTGCATGCCCTCAGAAAATTGTCGTCCCTTATTACGTTCTGTACAATTGTGCATTTTTTATAGCTGACTTTACAGATGTACATGTTTATTGTGATTTGTAAAATATGAAATCTTTTCAGATAAGGAAAAATGAGTCCACATATTGCAAAAATTGAAAGGAAAATTAATACATGTATATCCTACAGACACGTAGTATCCCCCTTTTGTTCCAGGCAACTTTACATTACAGAAAATGTTCATCGAAAGTCAGGTTGCCCCCCCCCCCTTTTTTTTTGTTGCAGCATAGTCAAATAATGGTTATGTACGTATGTAGTATGTTGTAAAAAAAAAAAAAGGAGAATTGGAACTGAAAAAGATGGGACCTACAACCCCATCTGAAATAGGAGTTTTGAGTTTCGACAAGTCCCCCTTTTTTATAGCTACTAGTCAACTTATGCCAAAGTTTGTTTTTTTTTTCAGGTATTCCCCCTTCAAAAAAGATTCTCCATCACTGTCATAAATGCTTAAGAATACATGTATTGATAAAATAAATGTTGCAGAAACAAAAAAAGATTTATTCATAATATACCATTCATGTAGTGTTTCTATTATTTTTAACAGGCGAAATATTTAGATTAAAACGAGCTGAGCAAAGTGTCCTCAATGCAGGGATTGGATGGGGGAGGGGGCTCCTTTAGAGAGAATTTATGATTATGTAGATTTAGACCATTGCGCCATCTACAATGTTTTATTTGACTATGCTCAAAAAAAAAAAAGGGGGGGGGGGGGGGCAACCTGACTTTCGATGAACATTTTCTGTAATGTAAAGTTGTGTCTGGAACAAAGGGGGGGGGGACTAAGTGTCTGTATGATAGAACAATCGCTCCTTGCACACTTTTTAATTCTTTTTTTATTCTTTTGATTTTTTAAAATTTAGTTTGTTTTATACTTCAGTACGCTTATGGAAATAACTTTTTGGTTCGGCATTAGTATTAATTAAGGTCTTTTATCAACACTATCTGTCGCTTATAAACCTGTGTGAATATTATTTCCATTGATACTTCGCACTAACTATCCTGAGAAAAATATGGGGTATACACCCCGTGTACAACATGTTGCATACACCCCGGACACAACATTGATTTTTCGTCAATATCTTTATATACGAACTGTTTTATTTAAAGACAATTTATACAAACGTTTATATTGTAAACATATATTTAACAATAATATAAAAGTGCTGATAAAGCAAAGCTTTGTTCTGATATTTGATCTTAAACACAGTGTAGCGTCAATCTTGCTCCGATCCTCGGAATTGTGTTGAGGTGTTCGATAAAACTAGAAAGTGTCCAGTGGATTCATCGGTATCCATATACTCCTTAGATAATGCTTTCTTCCGTAGGCATATGCTTTCTGGCGAAAAATATCCGTAAGTTGAGAAAATGGACAAAGAACGTACATTGACCCCCTTTCTTTCGCTTCGAAAGCATACACCCCGCGCACAACATAGTATACACCCCGCATGTTGGGATATACACGGTGTCAAAAGTCCGCCATAATGAAGAGAGTGAAAATGAAACTTAGTCTAAAAAATCTGATGTTTTCCTGGCTTTTTTACGATTTTGATATTTTACATGCCAGGAAAACGTCAGAATCAGCGCCATTACGTAAACTGGGAAATCGCCACATCCAACTGGAGACGGCATTCTCGAGTTGATTTTAGATACTTGCGAACTGAATTAAATTTCAAAGTCAAAAGATATCAATAGTACAATACTTAAAGAACTTACAAATATTATTTTTACGGTTAATTTATGAAATAATCCGGTGAAAAAGGTTTTATCACACTGTCGAGATTTGTCTTCATTTCGTACATTTTAAAATCTTGCATGTCCTGTTACGTGGAGTGATATTTTCTTTTCATCGATATTGGTGAGTACTAGAGGCATTGTGCTTTTGACAAATTCTGATTTCGGCATTTAGTTCTGTTCACAGGTATCAAAAATCAACTCCAGTTGAAAACGGCGAAATTTCCAATTTTCGTAATGGCGCCGATTCTGACGTTTTCCTGGCATGTAAAATATTAAAATCGTAAAAAAGCCAGGAAAACGTAAGATTTTTTGGGCTAAATGAAACTTTGTTATTAGGTAACTCATACATAAAATACTCTTGAAAGTAAAAGATTTTTAGAACGACCTAATCATGTATTTCTGAAAGTGAAAGTTATAGCATACAAGTACAAAATTTTTTCTCCTTGTCTAAATAATTCCCTAATTTCGAAGTGGGAAAATGAGTCATATAGCATAATTTGGGTGGATTATTGTAATTGTAAATTGTAAAAGGAAGGTTAGACAGTTTTTAGTGGTTCTCTGTTATTTGTTTTTTTTTTTCAAAAGATTTCTTGAAGTTGAAATATGACATTCAAAATTTTAGCAAGAATATCAAAATAACCGCCCCCTTTCCGCAATTTTCTAAGCGCCCGGGGCGGTTTGTAGGGATTATACGGTATATATAGGATATTCAATGTTTTGTATATTCAATCGTGAATCAGCATTTTTTGATATTTTCACTTGTGCTTCACACTCGTGAAAATATCAAAAAATCCTGTTCCACTCATGAAATAAATTCCTTATTCCACTACAAAACATTGAATTTTCTGTTTATTACATTTTCTTTGATTTTACACATGCCTCTGTCTTTTTCGTAACAGAATGTCAAAGGACATGACGTCATAGTAGACAGGTTGAGATGTCATAGCTTTAGCAATTGCAAGATAAACATATCATTTAATTTCTATAAAATACTTGATTCTGATTGGATAAAAAATTCTTTTGATAACTGCATCAATAAAATCTAAAGTTTGCTTGCACTAAGCAGCCGGAACTACTTTGCAGTCTTTACATGTATCGATATATTTCCCGCTTCCAGATTACTTTTTGAAGGAATAATTAAATACTTTTACTTTAATTGATATTTTCCTGAATTTCAAAACCTGTCCCTTACATTCCTGATTTATTTTCTACTTTTGTTTCTTTTTTATTTATCCCCCTTTGCTAAACAAATCAAATCGTCTGCATGGCTACAATAGGTAGTGGGAAAGACAGAAAGAAATCGACATACTTTTGTTAAATGTTTGATAACTGTTATGAACAACAGAACTCTGAAGAAATGTTTCTATGCTACCAAAGCGGGAAAAAACCGTTAATCTGCTAAATCTTGGGAAACGAATGATCGAGAAAAACGACATCGCATGAATGAGGATGGAATTCTTCAAGCCTAATCTTACACAGTCGGTAATAGCTGCAGATCTGTAGCGTTATGGTTTTATGTATTTGTCTTTTACCTATATATAATGCAAAAAAGGTGCAATTTACGGCACAATATTTTTTGCGCACTTTTGGGGTGAATTTCTCCAATTTCCAGCAATGGTCAATTAACTACCCTAGGCACATTATTTAACTAATCTGTATATTTTATCCATCTCCCAACCCTTTATAGTCGTCTCTACAAGTGATAAACTCGATTTAAAAGTGATTAAAATTATTTGTTAAATTGCTGAAAATTCACTTCAAGCGAGTTTTTTGCCTGTAGAGACAACTATAAAGCGTTGGAAGGTGGATAAAATGTACATATTGGCTACAGAATGTGTCTAGACTTAGAGAGTGAAAGGTAGTTGATTAACCAATGCTAGAAAGTGGAGAAAATCTCCCCAAAAGTGTGCAAAAAAATATTGCACCCTACATTGCACCTTTTTTGCATTACGGGATCTGTAGCGTTATGGTAAAAGACAAATATATAATGATTTGAACAAATTTGAATCTACACTACATGAGGCTGCTTCCACAAGTTTCATTTCCTTGCCCAAAGGTTCTGGAGAAGAGGATTTTTCCTATATATTCCTATGTAAAAACTTGATCAGCCATTGTGGCCCCGCCCTATCCCCGGGGGTCATGAGTTGAACAAACTTGAATCTACACTACCTGAGGATGCTTCCACATGAGTTTCATCTTTCTTGGCCCAATGGTTCTGGAGAAGAAGATTTTTAAAAGATTTTTCCTATATATTCCTAAGTAAAACTTTGATCAGCCATGCGGCCCTGCCCTACTCCCGGGGGTCATGATTTGAACAAACTTGAACCTATATTACCTGAGGATGCTTCCAAATGAGTTTCATCTTTCCTGGGCCAATGGTTCTGGAGAAGAAGATTTTTAAGAAATACCAATAACTTTTCATTAATTTATAATTATCTCCCCTTGGAAGAGGGCTTGGCCCTTCATTTGAACAAACTTGAATCCCCTTTACCCAAGGATACTTTGTGATAAGTTTGGTTGAATTGGCCCAGTGGTTCTTGAGAAGAAGATGAAAATAGGAACAGTTTACAACGATAACGACAGACAATGGACAAAGCTCAGGTGAGCTAAAAATAAACACTATCCCAGGATGCTTCCACATTAGTTTCAGCTTTTCTGGTGCAGTACTTCTTGAAGAAGATTTTTAATGACCCCGCCCTATTTTTGTTCCATCCAATTTTTGTCTTTTCTTGATTATTTTCCCTTGTAAGGAGACTTGGCCCGGCATTTTAATAATATACACTCCCCTTCACTCAATGATACTTTGTACCAAGTTTGATTAAAATTGGTCCAGTGGTTCTTGAGAAAAAGTTGAAAATGTGAAAAGTTTACAGATGGACAACAGACAACAGGTAATCAGAAAAGGAGAGCTAAAAATGGTGAGTTCAAAGTGTTCATTGTAGTTAAATAAAATATTATTATGTACCATTGTGTGGTAGTTGTATTTAGGTAGTTGGCAGGAAAGATATCATCATCAACCATATGGAAAGTCAAAACAAAAGTTAAGCACCACACAATGGTAAAACTCTTTTGTGTTTCAGATTTTTAAAGATTTTTTCCTATATGTACTCCTATGTAAAACTCCTATGTATGCCCATTTTGGACCCACCCTATAACTTGGGGGTCATTATTAGAATAATCTTGAATCTCATGGTTGCTTCCAATCATGGCTTTGCAGTTCTAGGGATGATTTAGATTTTAAAAGATTTTTCCCATGTATTTCTATGTAAAATTTGATCACCTTGTTTTAAATACATGTAACAATTTCAGAAATGCACACTTAAGATAAAAGTAAAATTATTCAAGTACCGGTTATGTAAATAGTTATACATTATCATATATAGAAACATGCCCAGGAAATGATATTATATATCCAGATTTGTTCAAAAAAATAATTGTCAGAAATGTTAATAAAATAATACATTTTGCAGTAAAAAAAAAATGCCAATCTTTTTACGACTCACTTATAAGTCGGACGTGGAGTTTAAATTTGGACCAAAATTTTCACTCTCACAAAAATTTGACTCATAGCCATTAGGTGAGTATATACGGTACCCTTCATCCAAGAATACTCTTTGCCTAGTTTGGTTGTAATTGACTAAGCAGTTCTGCAGAAAAAGATGATATGTGAAAAATTTACAAGGACAACAATGACAAAATTAACACCATGACAAAAGATTTTCTTTTTTCAAAATTTCTTTTGATTAGAAAAACTTGAGCTTTCCACTTAAAATTTAGATAGAAATGAAATAAAAAATCCAATGTAAAATATTCTTAATTCAATTTGGTAGATAAACTAAAAGAAAACTCTTAAATCTTTTTTTTAGTTGAAATATACATACTGGGTCGGATAGGTGTGTTCTAATTGATGATGTGCACCTCTGCAAAAATCTCCTCCAAGAAGAAAAGCCAGACAAAATGTGCATGCAACAACCTAGAATGATAAAATACTCAGTACAGAAAGTCAGTCATAAATAAGTGAATGGGTCAGAACACTAAACATAGGTAATCAGAGATTACAAAGCTCACCTCAATGAATGTTGTCTTTAAGTAAGGCAAAGTCACACAGTTACCCAACAAAGAGTGTATGTGTACATCCAACAAGAGGCCCAGGGGCCACATCGCTCACCTGAGCAAATCGGCCAAGAAAAAGCACAAATCAGATCAGAACTGAGAAGTTCACTGAAGGGGGGGGGGGGTGAATTTTAATACTACTTGAGATTGTCTTCATATTAATACAGCATATGACTTTGCTGTTCTTAATAAAAAGATTTTTCAAAAACATTTTCTTCCTATATATAACTCCATAATAATTTGAATTTGATTCCCATTGTTTCCCTCCCTATCCCCAAATGGCCATGATTTGAATAAATTTAAATCTTCAATACATGAGGATGCTTAAATGTCAATATGACTAAACATAGCTTTTCTGTTCTTGGGATTTTTTCCTTTATTTTTCTATGTAAAACTTTGATCCACCATTGTGGCCCCACCCTTACCTTGGGGGTTATGATTTGAAAAAAATTAATTCTACACTACCCAAAAATGCTTCCATATATGTAAATGCTAGTATTACTAATCATAGCTTTGCTATTTTTTGGAAGATTTTCTTTTTTATATATTTTAATGTAAAACTTGGATCCCCCATTGTGGCCCCACCCTACCCCCGGGGGTCATGAATTGAACAAACTTAATCCACACTACCTGAGGATGCTTCCACATGAGTTTCATCTTTCTTGGCCCAGTGGTTCCTGAGAAGAAGATTTTTAAAGATTTTCCCTATATACTCCTATGTAAAACTTTGATCGGCCATTGTGGCCCCACCCTACCCCCGGGGGTCATGATTTGAACAAACTTGAATGCACACTACCTGAGGATGCTTCCACATGAGTTTCATCTTTCCTGGCCCAGTGGTTCTTGAGAAGAAGATTTTTGAAAAATGCCATTAATTTTTCACTAATTCATAATTATCTCCCCTTGGAAAAGGGCTTGGCCCTTCATTTGAACAAACTTGAATCCCCTTTACCTAAGGATACTTTGTGGCAAGTTTGGTTGAAATTGGCCCAGTGGTTCTTGGGAAGAAGACGAAAATGTGAAAAGTTTACGCCGACGCCGACGACAACGACGATGACGACAGACAACGGACAAATTTTGATCAGAAAAGCTCACTTGAGCCTTGGGCTCAGGTGAGCTAAAAATGCAAAATTTATGCAATTTTGATCTGAAACTTTGGAATAGACCTATATAAAAACTTCATATGATTTAAATAAACTGAGATCTACACTACCCCAGGATGCTTCCACATAAGTTTCAGCTTTCCTGGCACAGTGGTTCTTGAGAAGAAGATTTTTAAAACATGCCACCAAATTTTTATTAATTCCCAATTATCTCCCCTTGAATGAGGGCGTGGTCCTTCATTTGAAAAAACTTGAATCCCCTTCACTCAAGGATGCTTTGTTTCAAGTTTGGTTTAAATTGACCTAGCGGATCTTGAGAAGAAGTCGAAAATGTGAAAAGTGTAGACAGACAGACAGACAGACGGACAGACAGACAGACGCCGGACAAAATGTGATCAGAAAAGCTCACTTGAGCCTTGGGCTCAGGTGAGCTAAAAACTTAACCTTAACATGGGAGGCCGATGCCGACACTGACGTCGACGCCGAGGGTACTGTAAAACGAGAATATTTGGCGCACTACTAATTTTCGCCTTTGAGGTGAGCTAAAAATTGTGCGATAAAGGATTTCTAAATCTCATTTTTTGTGTGTGTGTTCAAAGCTTTTACATAGTACTGTAAACCAAACCGCGCGATTACATAATGTCAAATGGTCATTGGATTTATTTACACACTAGCACTGCACATGTTCGAATGACAGAAAGTTCTGCCAAATTATAATTTGATTAAACTATTGTTATCCCAGTAGTTATTACCCAATTATTCTCATTAGCACCGTCAAAGTTTGGCTTCTCGGCGTGTCAATCATCTATCGCCTCGAGGTAAACAATGCAATCAAGCATGGCGATTGAGCTTGCAGACAATACCTGAGCTTAGGATTACCGTTTTATCTAAGTAATTTTCATTCGATGCATGCAATGTTTTTATACGATTTAAATGAGATAATGCTCCATTTCTTTTAATTGAAAATAGAAATAAAATAAATTTTAACATTGTACCGCGTCTATGTGATAACAACGCGGTAGAGTTAACGAATGTTTACTGATATACGGGAGTACTAATGTGTTTCCGTGCTTGACAAACCAAAAAGTCAAATACATGTGTGGATTAAAAAAAACAAAATATCACATATATTTTACTGACAAGTGTAAGCGCTAAAACTTATTTGCGCCAATGCATTCCCACTTGCATTTGCGCTAAAATATGTATGCGCCAAATTTTCTCGTTTTACAGTATTACATAAGCTCCCCCAACTTCGTTGAGGTGAGCTAAAAATGTGAGATACTACATTGCAAACATCAATAAAACTAGAGGTACTGTGAGCGATGAGCTCACTAAATGATACCCCCCGCCTCCCATATGGTTATAACTGGTGAAAAAGTCCATGTTTTCCTGTGGCCGGGAAACCCAAAATATGTGTCGGATCAAAAAGTAAAATAGGAGGTGCACAATGGCAATATGTAATAAAGATTCTGTGAAAGTTTCATCAAATTTCATTCAATGCTATGAGAGGAGTTGCGGATAAGAGATGGGTACCCCAAAGCGTAACAGACGGACGGACGGACAGACGGACGGACGGACGGAATTAACAATTACTATATACCCTCACGCTTTCAAGCGGGGGGTATAATAAAGCCTCCTGTAATTGACTTTAATATTTGTTCTCTCCTCAAACCAGTGTTTGTTCTTAGCTTTCACTGGGGAATATTTATTTTAATTACACTTTCATGTTAAATACTAAAAATCTGATTGGTTTAAATGCATCTAAAAATTTTTAAAGATATTGTCACATGATGATGCAGGTAAATTATGTGTGTACAGATTACCATGAAAATTCTCAAAAAAGTAAGTTGAGCATTTTATTAAAGAGGTCAAATAAGCTTGACGTCAATCAAAACTTGCATTTGATGATGTAGCTTGATTGAAAACAACAGATGACAGATGAAAAATGCTTGCAAGGGCAGAAATGACAAAACTTTACATGCCAAGGAGTCTCTGAGTATCAAACAATAAACAAGAGGCCCAGGGGCCACATCGCTCACCTAAGCACATTGTCTAGGAAAAAGCACATATAAGATCTGAACTGAAAGTTTACTGAGGTGGGGGGGGGGGGGGGGGGGAGCTTGAATATTAATGCTATTTGAGAAAGCCTTCATATCAATACAGCATATGACTTTGCTGTTCTTGATAAAAAGATTTCTTTTTAAACATTTTGTTCCTATATATTACTTCGTAATAATTTGAATTTGATTCCCCATTGTTTCCCTCCCTACCCCAAAGGGCCATGATTTGAACAAATTTAATTCTTCAATACAACTGGATGCTTACATGCCAATATGACTAAAAATAGCTTTTCTGTTCTTGGGATTTTTCCCTTTATTATACCCCCCGCTTGAAAAGCGGGAGGGTATATAGTAATCGTTAATTCCGTCCGTCTGTATGTACTAAAATTGTCCGTCCGTCGGTTCCGTCCGTCCGTCCGTATTGTTTGAATTTTTGGGGTACCCTTATTTATCCGCAACTCCTCTCATACCACTGAATGAAATTTGATGAAACTTTCACAGAATCTTTATTACATATTGCCATTGTGCACCTCCTATTTTACTTTTTGATCCGGCACATATATTGGGTTTCCCAGCCACAGGAAAACATGGACTTTTTCACCACTTATAACCATATGGGAGGCGGGGGGTATCATTTAGTGAGCTCATCGCTCACAGTACCTCTAGTTTTTCTATGTAAAACTAAATTGATCCACCATTGTGGCCCCACCCTTACCCTTGGGGGTTATGATTTGAACAAATTTAATTCTACACTACCTGAGAATGCTTCCATATAAATACTAGTACCAATAATCATGGCTTTGCTATTTTTGAGATTTTTAAATATATTTCAATGTAAAACTTGGATCCCCCATTGTGACCCCACCCTATACCTGGGGGTTATGATTTGAACAAACTATAAACTACACTACCTGAAGATGATTCCATATAAATATTACTAATCATGGCTTTGAAGTACTTGAGAAGATGATTTTAAAAGTTTTCCTTATATATTCCTATATAAAACTTTGATCGGCCATGTTGGCCCCACCCTACCCCCCAGGGTCATGATTTGAACAAACTTGAATCTACACTACCTGAGGATGATTTCACATGAGTTTCATCTTTCCTGTCCCAATTGTTCTTGAGAAGAAGATTTTTGAAGATTTTTCCTGTATACAGGTAACCCTCGATACCTCAATGTCTACAACAGAAAACATTTCGAGAAATCAAGAGTAAGTGATTTTATTTTACAAGAGTTTACAATATGTTTTATAGTTAACAGTTTTGTGTTTGACAGGTTTTAAAATTAGTCTTACTGGATGTAATGATTTTCATGCAGTGCTAACCTTCTATTCGTGGTTTTTATAAAACAACGATTTGATTTCATATTTTAGATGAATATTTATTAAACTGAGTAATTAAAGCAAAAAAAGTACATCGTCAGTTCATGTTTATTATTTATTCTTTATAATATGGATATCATACTATGCATTTGTTATATGAAAATGACATTTTACGGCATCGCGTGATACATAGCGTTGGGACTTTTCCAAACATGTGCATTAAACAAAGTCCTGTACGTATCTGTCCAACAATACTCATCATAATTTATATTCACATTTGAGGCAGTTTCTGAATTTTCATATTTCGTTAAACTTTGACACTGATTCGAAATAAAAATTAAATTTATAAAGTGTTTTGTCTTGTAATCTGCA